ACCCTTCTATTTAAAGCTACCTAGTTACCGGGTTTTTCGAACCCCTGCCGAATAAATAGAATTTAGGAAACGGCCCAGTAGCCCGCGGCTTCTCACAATAAAATATTAATGTATAATAATTTAATATGGTTAAACACTTGTCGCAATAGATAGACTATGTTTCAGTGCAACAGTAATTATTTATATAATTTATTTCTCGTGCAGAATTTCGGTATATAAGCAATTATATTTAAAAATCGAATATTGTTTTTCGAAAATAGTAATGCCGTACGGATCTAACTTCTCTGTTAAATTTCACATGTGTCAAAAATTATTTTCAGTCGAAGTCTTAGTTGAGTAAATTGACGTCAATTACTTGCTTTAAGATAAAAATCTAGTCTATGTGCGCAAATAAATGACATTGACGGTGACGTCAAAGGAAACTTTTCATTTACGCAAGAATAGACTATAACAATGGATATGAATAAATTCTGCATAATTTATGCCTTCATATTTCCTGTAAAAATAATTTGTTTTAAATTTCTGTTTTAAAAACTTACAATTTATCTAAAGATATAAGTCTATTTCTGTTAGAAAACGGTAGAAAATTCTCTTGTAATTTAAGTATTACGTAAAATACTATGAAATATTTACGTATATTCTAATTAGATGTAATGACGAAATGTCACAAACAATTTTTAATTATTGTTTATATAAATGAAGATATGTAATTAAATTTATAATATATTTTCTTCGATATATCGAATTTCATAAATATTAGCTGCAAACATCAGTAAATACAAAACACTATATCTTATTTTGGATCGTTTACAACAAAAAGTAGGAAAGTTGAGCAATAGTATTTTCACTTTCCTTGATGTTATCTATTAATGAAAGCAGGCACGATAAGGAAAACAAGTGATTTTTCATTATTTTTACAGTCTTCGATTAGAATTCATAAAACGTAGAAACATACAAATATTTCTTGACTTTTTTGTGTGTATAAATCGTTACTGTGTGTTTGAGGTTGAATAGACAAACCTCCTAACAAAATTCTGGAAATTTTCTAGAAAATAGCTGAGAAATTATTAGAATTCAAACTGGATGAATCTAAATATGTAAAAATTTTGTGATACGTTATATCTTTATTAATTTTCATAATTTCTTTTTGTTATTTATTACACCGCTGAAAGAAAAAAAAGCTGTCTCAGAAAGATGAATAACAAATGCACAAGATTACAGTTTCTATGAAAAAATTATTAAAAACTCTGTTTATTTAAAAATATTTTTTATGCTATGCTAAAATCTTATCTTGTTAATACTGAATACATTCCTGTTCGTGCTACATTAAAAATTAAGTCACGTAACATAAATTCGCTCAATTATTATACTGAAATAAGTTGACGTTTATCACATATGCGAAAAGTACATATGTTTTTTTTTTCTAAAAAAAGTTGTTGTTTCTAAAAAATGCAGTAGATAAGAATTCCGCTAAAAAAACTCAATTATAATGTAATAAATTATGCATTTTTAGTTGTGGAATGTAGCATATAAGTGTGGGGACAAATTCTAAACATATAGGTCTTTTGGGAAACATTTACTCTACGTTTTCGTCTATTATTTTTATATAACAAAAGAAATTGATGAAGACGTGTTTTTTCAATTCTCCACGTGCTGATATTTCCAGAACCCAAAAGTAAAAAAAATTACGTGAATATATATCTGTGTGTGTGTGTGTGTTTAAGTATTCACTTCGTTAATTATTTATGGATACAGTGAAGATTAAAAAATAAATAACGATTCATAAATAACGACACCCACTATATCCTGATATTCTCGACCTTTCTACCAAAATTTAATGACATCGAAGCCCACGCATATATACAGGTAATACTTCCTACTTGATCATGTGATACATAAGGATAAAGTCGAGTTTTCAAGTAATATGAAAAAGAAAACTGTAACAATAAGGAAAAGGTAAGGGTATGATATACGTTATTTCCTGTATAAATTGAGAATATTAAATATATAAAAAAACAACTGTGTTTGACTGTTATAATTAAGGTAGTTTCCCAGTCATTTAGGCATTTCCCAATAACGAATCCAGACTACAAATTCGAATAAAATTAATTTCTATGCTAGATGGAGGGTATTAGAATAAGTATGGAAGCTCTTACCGAAATTTTTGCCAGTAATTACAAGTGGGAGATACTTGCTATTATTTTTATAATATATATTGTGTATAAATCTCTAGTTAAGGGAAAGCAAGTTCTCGTTGGTTTTAAAGAAACCGAATTTTATTATTCTCTGATTGGATGGAAATTCGCATTTCAAATTCTCATACCCAGGATCGGTAAGTTAACGTTTTGTCAACTCGCATACAATAAATGACTTAAAACTTAAATGCTTGTAATATGTGTATAATAATTACGTCTGTGACAATGCAGATGATAAAATACAGCTTTGTTGTATTTTGTTTGTTGTTTGTTAAATTATGGCAATGTAACACTTGGGGGATACCTTCCGGAAGGTCTTCTTAAGAAAGTCTGGCCTTTATTTAGTCGTTACATGAGTGAAGAAAACACGGAAGACCTTACATGGTGCGAATCCACAACCAAACCCCTAGTGTTCAGAGTGCTTAGACCGATTGGCCACTAGTGGGTCTTGTTGTATTTTATCATCATCATGGTAATTTTGCTTTTTTTGTCATGCAATTTGCTTCTTATTTAAATAACTCTACTATTTAGTCATTCTAATAACATAATTTTCGTGTTTGTTAGAAATAAGTCGCCAGGTAAAAACATGATAATTTAACAAAGCTATAAGAAAAAAATCAGGCAACAAGTTGCTTAACTTTCGCAGCAACATTTGAAACTGCATCTCTTATGATACCTTTTATTTTTTAGTTTTATAAAATAGCCAGAAGCTTAAATTTGAGGAGATGAGTTTTATGAAAGAAATTGTAAATGCTAATAACTATTAAATGGATATTAAATCTGACCCTACTCGAGATACTACACTCGACCCTTTTATTTCCCCACCCCATTTACCGTTAACGATTAAAATATAATAGCATCAATCCCCTAACACACCAACCTCCATGTGAAACTTCCGAAATTTTCGACAAACAGCATAAGAGTTATTAAATTTAACACAGTATACAAAGTAGTGTCTCGAATATCTTAAACAATGGCAGGAAAAGTGGGATAACGGCACAACGGAAAGAACAACGCACATCTTTATCCTGAACATCAGTAGGAGACTTAAATGGAAACGTTTTGTTCGGAACTTCCTAATGACTCAGTTAAAATCACTAGTCATGGTAATTTTAAATCATACCTAAAGAGGTTCAATACAATAGCAGCGCTCAACTCATCGCGTAACCGGCCAGCCACCAATGGTAATTGTTAATTTGTACTAACTGCTTAGATCCACTACTACAGTCACAAGAATTTTTCTCTTTGCATTTTCTGTGCCTAGGAATAGACGCCTTTGTTGATACTCTGTTTTCCCACTATGTTTCTGGCCTATGCTGTCATTGTTGGAGTAAACAAAATGTACATTGTATGGTTGTAACATCTGTCTGTTCTAACTGTACAAATGTGTTATTGTGTTCGTTATATTGAATTTATGTTGATGTATTGATTACTTAGGTTTTTTATACTTCTATAATCAATTGCACAGAATGTGTAATTGTCCTGTTTTGTCACTTATATTCAGGTACATCTAATTGTATTCGTGTTTATTCTCTGCCATGTTCATACATTATTGCTCGCTGTGCATCAACTGCTGCCTGTTGTTATTGTACTTTCTGTAACCTGTCTCGCATCTTTACTGGATGCACCCAACTTGCATAATGTCTTATATTTCTTGTAACAGCAGTATTTTGTATATATTATTTCGGTTTCCCACTCAATAGTGCTATTGGCATATACTGTTGCTTTATATCTAAGCATCTTTATCTCTCATCCTGTTGTTCAATCCACTGTCGCGGGCGCTTATAACTGTAAAGGATATTAATTTGATTGTCTTATCATTATACTTCTTGATTGTATTGTCTTCATTTGCATTATCGTCCTCTCAATGTAAATACCAACTTCTTCATTTTGGTACACAAATTTTTAACCTATTTTTCTTGTAACAGCAACTGTTTGTCATCTATATTTTTGCCTTGTGTAACAATTGCATAATCGGTAAGCAATTGGCTTGTTTAGCTGTCATACCAGGCGCACCCTACTGTCATACTGTCGTCTCTATTTTGTATTTTGTGTTTTTTATTTGTAAACTTATTACATTGTTAATGAATGCGTTGCAGGTGCCATGGGCTCAAATCTTTAATCCACCACTCTGACCTACTTTCACCTCCTATTCTTCACTTTTCTTCTTACTTTATTATCTTTCTCCCCCAACCTCCAGGTCGTACTTTTCAGTGATACCTGAAGTACCCTCATTCTTTCTAAAAATACCTGTTACATATAACAGAGATGGAAAGTAAAGTGAAAAGTTACAAATGACTTCGTATCTACTATATTTACCTCATAAAGTCAAACATATGGGACAAGTAATTTCAGAAGGAGAAACGAAATTTCGGACAGTTTTTTTCAACTGTGGGCAAAAGGTGAACAAACTGAATGAGATTAAATACTTTCGCGGGTGGGAACATCAGAAATCTAAATTTTTAGATATTAACGAATAAAATGTTTTGAAGTTTTACAAGTGAAAAGCAGAAGAAACATAAAATTACATAGCGGATTTTGTTTACTATTGCACTTATAATTTGACAGTTGCATTGTTACTATATTGATTATATTAACAAATACGGAAAAAGATTTTTCTTACAGTCAGTCAGAAAATATTGAAAATACCAAACTGAATTTAAATTTCTGAAATAGTCGAAAGAATTTCTATAAAAATAATAAAACCTGTCTACCTAGTAACCTATTTATAATCTATTAATATGGTTTTTTGTATTAAAATTCGATACAAATAAAAGCTTTTTATATAGAAATTTTTCTTTCCAGGTTCGTCATTACAGTTTGTGGAAGTGTTGAATCACTCGTACGACAAAGAATATTTTCCTCTTAATTTTATAATTGTGAAATACTTGTTTTTGTATCGTCCGGATCATATTCAAGTAAGTTTCTAGAAAAATATTTGGAAACGGGAAGTGATGTCATATGATACAAATGAATGTCCTGCCCCAGTACAACTATAACAAACGGCCGAACTTCATAACAATTGTTTGATGACAATTAGAAAAATGATTGTTAATTAAACAGCGTAAAAATGTATTTTCGGTGTGAAAAGGTTAAAGATGCATTGTCAGTTGTGTTAGAGTGTTTTCTTTTGTTCGTAATTAGTAACAAATGGTTTCGATTGATAAAAACAAATTAAATTATATAATTATAACAACAAACACTCTAATTGTGAATGCTAAAAAAATTTGGCAAATCAAAAAGTTTCAAACCAATAAAGTATTTATTTTTTCAGGACTTAAAATTACCGCGAGCAAAGTTTAGAATAAGTTTTAGTCTCCAAGAGGCGCTCTGTTAGCTGTCCCCTCAAAACGGCATCAAAATCCAAACAGATTCTCGTACAATTTGCTGAGTTTAAATTTGAAGCTCTAGTGAAAAACTACTTATGCCGTGTTTACCACAAAGATCAAAACAGATGCCAAGAGGACAAAAGCATTGTACAAGACTTTTGTAGGAAATGGAAGCCACCTAAAACAACACCGGGGAGACATTCTTTCAAAAATTGACAGAGATCCGATCTTGCTGTCAAACATTCTGTTCTCAGATAATGCATTTTTTCGTTCTTTCATTGCTGTAAACATGCGTAATGTTCAAACGTCAGGATGGAATATTCTTCTCTGCATCGACAAATATGTGTTAAACAGTACATAATTTGATATTAATGGCACGAGAATCACTGTTAGAATATATAAAAACACGGTTTTACATGAGAAATATTTATCGTGTACAAAAAATCTCAACAATTAATTTTAAGTATTTGTAAATAGTATTTTAATTATTAGAGTAAGGTCAGTTTGACTTTTTATGTAAATGGTTTTATTAATTTTATTATTTACTGATGAAAATTCACACTTACAGTATTTATTTATTTTTAGACACTGCTAAGTGATTCCCAATGCATTAACAAATCCATCGCATATAAAGGATTTAAAGATTGGATTGGAGATTCTGTTTTCATGAGGTAATCATTAGGAACAATTCTCTCTCCATATTTAAAGTAATTTATTTTGTATAAAATAAATCATGTAATTTATAATCGAGACGGGTTGATAATAATAATAATAATAATAATAACTCTCCCGTGGTCACCACCTGGTCGTGGTGGGAGAGCCCAGTAGTTTTACAGATCCATAGGGCAATGCAGGCTGGAGCACAAGCTCCTGGTAGGGACACCCATGCCAGTAAGGTCTATGGGGAGAAATGAAGCTAAGAGTGACCACACACCCACATTCTGTGGAGATAATCATTATGGTAGTAACCAGATC